GCTGCTCTCGAGAGTGAGGGCCATCTTGTTCCTTCCTTTTCTCTTATCATCTTGAAAAGGGGGGCAACATTTCCCTAGAGTTTTCTCTGGACCACGAAACATTTTCTTCTCTATCCGAAAATGCAATCACTGGACTGTCTCAAAGGCCATTCTGCCGTCTTTGAGCATAATAGTCGTGGTGAAATCTTCTTATCTCAAATTCCTTTATCATGGCAGGTGCATAAGTTTACAACAGTTTGTCTTTAAAATTACATCCATCAATATGAAGTAATAGTTTGAAGATCTCAAATTTAAGCAGATCTACAAAATGATGAACTATATTTTCATGTATATGCATTTACAAATGTTAAAAAATAAATAAAAACTCAAAATCCAAATGAAAGTGTAAAGTATGAAACCATTTCTTAAACTGGCAACTCATGTTATCTTAACACAAGATAAGGCATATCAAAAACTTCCTCTTTTATGGGAAGAGTCTTTTTACGAGCCTCTTACTCAGTAGGCAAAAATCCTTGCTCCTGTTGGGCTTTTTCATTCAAGGTAAGCAAACTACAAGAAATTTCTGTAAACAAGCATTTGCTGCAATTTATATTATCAATCCTGGTGTGACTGCCAGAGAGATCAGGGTGTGAGTAGAAAACTATTCACTTCCCCTCATAAGTTCAACAGGTGCACACTATGTCTGACACTTCACTGTAAAGCTTATACTTATCATACCATTTCTAAGTCTAGTAATCAATATCTATTGCTATGTAAGCAGTATAATACTTATTACATTGTATGCTAAATAGATTGTGTTATGCATATACACACAAATCATATTCATTTATAAAATATACATACAAATGAATATCAATTTATCAATACATAGGTAAATACACATAGTATTTGTAGTGCATCACACATATGCACATTTTCTCTCTCTCACACTCACTCACTTTCTCTCACTCTTGCTCACCCACTCATACTCCCCCTCATACTCATACTTACACTCACAGCCACACCCACACACTCTGGGCCCTCTATTACAACCAGTCAGATAGGATACATATGACTCTAGTTACAGTTCAAATAACAAAAGAAATAAAAAATATTATCAGGTCAATCAAACAACACAGTAGAGCATTATTACCATATATATTTCAAAACTCAGTATTATACAGTGGCCGCACACTTTCAGTATTAAGAACCCATCAGGGGAAATTGGAGATATATATTTACAAAAAAACAACAACAACAACAACAGAGCAATAATTATTCAAACAAATTAAACACACATATCTAATAATTACATATAACAGCAAAAAAGTAAATAAGAACTACTTAACACCGACACAAACTGTACATACAATTATATACTCTCTAATAAGGCAAACAATTCATAGCAATGAGGTTCTATATCATCATAATTACTATCAGATGTTATTTCTGTGAAGCAAAACAACTAATATAACACTAGTCTATTTATCAAAGCTAAAGGACTATTCGTCGACTGAAATCTTATAGAAGAGGACAGAAGGAACTGAGTCATTTCTTTGTCGTGTTAGAATTTTGCTCCAAAACGTCTGTCATTAATTGGGAAATATTAACCGTCATGGCACAGAACTGCGACCATAGCCATAAAGTGGTCACATCGTGTCAGTATTATATCAAGAGAAATTGACCTTTAATCAAATAGAAGTTAATATCCATTATGACACATTTATAGAGAGGGAAAGAGAGAGAGAGAAAGAGAAATGTAAATCTTAGGTTCGGATGTAATTAGTATCACTTTAAAGGTTGTTAAATGTTGTCATTCTTATCTTTTATCGTTATTATAGTTACTCATTCATGAATTGTTTAGGGTTGAGTTTGACAGGTAGGATTTTTACATTAAACTATACATTAATATAACTTTGCTAAAAACAGAACGGAAGCACTAGATAAAAAAAACTCTGTGGACTCTCACATGAAATGTAACAGGGGCAGCTATATATACACATTTCAAAACACTAGTTCTATATTTACACCCTTTAGTTTGAAGAAAAACGTATCTACAAATATCTCTAAGGTATTCAACCGATGCAGCTAACACTGTAGTGTCCATTTGAGAGAGTTCAGCCAAAGGAAGAGATGTCCGCAAACAACAAAATAATACATTGGAATCATCATTTTCTTTCTCTTTATTCTCTTGCTTGTACTATATACTATTTTTGTGTGTGTGTGTGTGTGTGTGTGTGTGTGTGTGTGTGTGTGTGTGTGTGTGTGTGTGTGTGTGTGTGTGTGTGTGTGTGTGTGTGTGTGATGTCTATAAATGTTTATATAAATGATATATATATATATGTATATATATATATGTATATATGTATATATATATATATATATGTATATATATGTATATGTGTATATATATATATATATATATATATATATATATATATATATATATATATATATATATATATATATATATAAATTACCAGTAAAAACAAATATGCTTGCAGACATCTTCACCACTGGCATGTAACTCTCTGACTGGACCCTACACTATGCTCTGGAAAATGCCATGAATAAATACTGCTTCACTGCACAGTCAAACATTCAAACCAGCAAGCAGATCAAGTGAGAGTTCACAAGCAAGTAACTGTTGCATGATAAGAAAAAAAAAAAAAAATCTAAAACAAATAGATAAATATATGAGGAGACCAAAAACACAAAGTCACGTGACAGGTACACCCATGGTTGCTTGCAAGTTGCGTCTATTAGTATACAACATCAAGTCTCACTAAGGCGGACTTACCCGGGCATTGTTCCCAAGATAATCTACAAACAATCCTGGAATAGAGGAAGCATCACCAATGATTAGGATATAATAAGGGTCATTGACCTTTCCCCTATTACATTACTAAAAGAGAGAGAGAAAAAAAAAAAAGAAAAAAGAAAAAAAAAAAAGTTTTAATTAGGACTTATCACCTAGAATGAAGGCTCTTTTTCATTTCTTTTTTTTTTTTTTTTTTAAGTCCCGAAGAGCGCAGCTTGGGTCAGGGAATCGAGGCAGATTGTTGGGTATGGTACAAAGGGGTTTGTTCACATACATTAAACCATTATTAGTAAAAAGGCCAGTTCTGTGGCCATTATCACATTAAATGCTAGTTTTCATTTGATCTACCCATGCTCATATCACACTCACATAAAACAGGCAATCCTTCAATTATATATGAAATCCATAAAAAGAAAAAAACTTAGAAAAGCACCACACGGCAAATATTGCACACTCACATATTTCTAAATCTATTCCAAGTCCACACTAATGCTTACCATGGTATCCATTATTCCTAGATACAGTGAATTCTCATACTGTCCCACAGTGAAGCACAACTAAACTAACTGTTGATATCCTAACCATAAACCCAATGCTTTTTCAAAACCTTCACCTATAACCATCTACCCAGAATGAGAGTTGAAAAAAAAAAAAGTTTTGGGCAAAGAACTTCACTGCAATTTCCTTCTTTTGCCCTGAATTCCCCTTCATTACATCATGCCATGAACTAGATCCATGTCATGCCATGCACTTCCTCCCTCCATGCCATGCTTCTCTGCACTCTTTGGACTAGCCCTCATGCACTGCCCTCTCCTCCCCTCTAATATTCTGATTTCACTAACTCCTCAGCTTCTATTAAGCATGCTACAATTTTCTTTTATCTTTATCTTTATCTTCTAATACCACAGCTAACATACCTATCTGAGGAATCAGTCAATTTATCTATGCACTTTACCTATTTCCTTCCATAAGTCTATTACTTTTTTCCTAAGACCCAATGTTATTTTATTTCCTTCCTGGTGCTTCTCCACTCTTTCCTATCCACCTCTCTCTTTTTGGGTGTTTCTTGCTCAAGAATGGAATCTGGATTCAGAAAATAGCTTCGCCTAATAACATACAGGATGCATCTAATGTAGCTATATACAACTATATATGTACCATATATTCTATTCCCATTAAGTCCACCTACACCTGCTCTGCTGTCAATTACACCACACTGAGGCACACTGTCGCCAATCACCTTATTCTCCGATGATATCAGACTAACTTCCATTCCATTTTCTTTTTCTTTAAGAATAGGATCATCAAAATAATGTGAACCTTTATATTTTTATAAATGCACACACAGAGTTACGTTTATTTCAGCACTGTACTGAGAAGGTGATCATTAATAATGGATTGTATATAAACATGAAACATACAGCTTTATTAGATGACGCTCTGGTTATCGCAAAGTGTGTCCGTTTTTTCTTGTACAAGAAAGCAATGGCTCTTCTCAACGGCATATCAATAAAAGCTTAATTGCTTCATGCTTTTATCATTATATTATTATAATGTAGGTTACAAATACATGCAGCCTTTGTACATATCCTTGACTTTCAACCTCTTGAACAAGTCCACATTGAAATAATTTCCTCAAAGCAAATCATGATCTCTCTTCAGTGAATAAATCAGCCATCTGAGTAAACACAAACAATCTCTGATTTTTCTTTTCTTTTTTTTTCTTTTTTTGCTTAGTTCTAACCTTTAAATGACATTAATACCTATTAAAAAGGAGAAAATATCTTAATGAAAATGTATGATCACAAAGCACTACTGCCCATTAATAACTAAACTTTCTTTTCTTTCTATCTATTTCATCTTGAGCTGAATTATTCCCCAACAACCAAAAAATGCTTACAGGAAATGGACCACTGACTCGTTAAGAAGGCTATTTCAAATATAAATAGAGTTCCTAAAATTCTCTGCATTTCCTATAAAATGAAGAATGAAAAAAATCAATAGAAATAGAAGTCTTAACAACACTTATCAATTAATCTTATCTACTTAATACTAATACTGACATCAAACAAACAAACTAACTAACTAACTAATCATGTTCTGATGACATATCAGACTGGTTCAATATAAAAGATGGCCTAGAAAGGTATGGGAAGTTTCATCACTGTTCATGTTTGGCAAAAATGAACACTATAACTGTCCTTTAGGGATACTCAATCAAATGTTCTGAAGCTGTAATGGTGCTCATAAGTAAAATATCTATTAATTTTTGCAATTATAGTTAGTAATCCAAATATCACTGACAGGAAGAAGGAAATCAGCAGATTAGAGCTGCTTACAATAAATCAAAATAATTTTCTTCAATTTTTCATATTCTCAAATATCTAGTGTGGAAATATAGCCTACACTCATATTAGACAATATATAATAAGATAATATTAAAAAATACTAATAATTTGTACTGACAATCTTATCCAGTAGGAAAATCATAGAAATATATCAGCATACTCCATGTCTTCAAAAATGAGAACTTTTTAGCCTAGAAATCAATTCACCTCTCAGCTAAGTAGGTATTTGAACTGGTAAATTCATGACCACAATTTTTCTTATCTGGATGATTTCAGAGGAAAGCCATAGTTAAATCATAAGCAATCTTGCAACTATAGTCCCAAAAATTGGAAATTATTCTTATTGACATATTTATATGTGTTGTCCATTATTTGGTAACGGGTTTTCTCTCAGTGAATAATGACTGTGTTTTCAATAAAAAACATTTAATGTTTTTTTCTAGATAAAGACAGATGATTTGCAGAAATAAATAATTACATAGGAAGTGTTTATGGGACGCTAAGAGTGTGGCTTTCAAAATGGAACTTTTCAGTTAAAATATTTTTGGCTATATACTATCCAAATACATGTAAAAGTTGCTGAACCTTTGACAGGCCTACCATTTTAATTTCAACTTAAAGTGGCACAGTGTCAAGCGATGGTCACGGCCTGTCCACTATGCGCTCCAGCAATAGCCAACAAATTTCCACTAGACCTATCTAGCAAGACAGAAAATGGATAAGTTCTTTTTTAGATGATACTTTGCTAAGGAGTCTAAGAGCTCTCCCATTCTAGAAAATATTGCTTGGTAGAGGTTTGCAAGCCAGTGTGGAGGCATCTGCACTGACAGCCTGGAACCAACTAGCACAAGGTCAGTCGTAAATGCACATGTGTCTCCTAAACATATATCTCTTATATGATGATAAAACTGAAATAAAACAGGCGTATGTTATTCTCACCAACAGCACAGTCTCAGAACATCTGACACCCTAATCCATACATCAACATGACAGAAAAATTACGACACAAAATTCTAATATGACTCATCAAGCTACTTTCTTACTATTTATATAACTATTTACTGAGATGATACGACTCCCAAGGCCCTGATACGACTCCTCCTCTCAAATCTTCCAACTGCTTCTCAAAATGACTTAAAATCAAATGTTTTAAAGCATATTTACAAAAAAAAACATGTGAGACTTCCCATACCTTGCCCTACCCAAGGCACCTGGAAAATAAAAATATACTTTCACCTCCTTAAACTACCTAGAATTTAGTGATTGGAGCTACTGGACATTAACATTTCCTTAACTGTTTAAATGAAATCGATTTAAAAGTCCTAAAATGAGTGAAAATACAGAAAAAATATATAAATAGATACAGGTGGCTAAGAGGGAATTCAACACTAAGATTTTTTTTTTTCTTTTTGGTTATCTTAAGTTTTTTTTATTAACGTTATGTAAATTTTTAAAAAATGCTAATTTTCTCTTAAGCGAACGGCCAACCACCACCGGTAATTACACATTTAATTGTAATTTAGACCTAATTATCTCATCATCTCTCCCACACCTACACACGCCCACCTTATCACCGCCCTCCAAGCTCTCCTTTCCCCGGCTCTAACCTCCTTTTCCCTCCTTCGCAAACCCTCAACCGAATCCCTCAATCCTTCTCCTTCACTTACTCGTAGGATTTGGAGCCTCGGAGCTGGAAAAATCACGCTAAAAGTCTCCCGCGAGCGCCTTTCCTCTCCCTCGGCCGAGCCTCAACCTTTTACCATAAATAGCGGATGTGTTTACAAGATCCCCTTCCGTCGGTCGAGCTAGTAAGAATTTTGGACCAATTAGAATAGAGTTTTTTATGTGTGGCTTAAAGGTGAGTTCTGATTGGTTAAAAATTGCGCGGATACTCACTTACGGGAGGTAATTTCGGTAGGATGGGTCTCCTCGGGAAAGTGACCAATAGGAATTAGGATATCCGTCTATGGCTCTTAAGGCTTTATTCTGATTGGCTATTTTTTTCTTGGGGGATATGTGGTTATTTCATTCTGAGAAAGTTACTCGATGCATAAATTTATCGATGAAATGCATTTATGAGGATATCAGACCTAAATTCCAGTCGATAATAAAGAAGGATATAAATGTCGAATCTAATGTCAAACCTATAATGTAATAATCAGTTTGACATTTCGCACGAAAAGATAATCAGCAAAATTAGAACTATACTAAACCAAAAAAGAAACTAAACAACCAAAATAAATAATATTCACTAATCACTATGAATACTGAAATAAATATAAGATAACATATAATAAGAATTGGAAGGAAAAAGACTAGTGTTACGAATAAAAGTGACTAGACCTAAGACTCTGATTTGACCCTGGCACCACGTCGAAGGCAGTGGATGACGTTTGTAAACACTTCAGATCAGCTGGCGACTCCAAGGTAGCCCGACGCCACGTTCCGTCCTCTTATCTCTCGCAGTAAACGTCAGGCGTCAGCTGTACAAGCATCTTCCTCTTCTTTACTTTTAGGTAAAATGGATAATATGTTGTGTAATTAGTGTCTGAGTCTTTGGAGAACACTTTTATATTATTTAAAATTGGTAAATATCGTGTTTCTAGTTTTTTGACAGCCTGTGGTAGTGACCAATACATATTTGTTCGTTTATTTATAAATCTATTGATTATTATCATTTAATATTGAAAATGTATATTACTCTTAATGTGCTTATTGTGCAAAGGTAGTGTAGAAATAATAGATATTGATATATCGATAAATTGAGACCATGTAAGCAATACCGGCTCTGGGAAACCTAATACGTGAAAGGAAGGAGTATCACACGTACGCAATGATAAAAGTACGAATTATCCACTTTTAGAGCAAGGACAAGTCGGTTACAGGGATTAAATGAGACTTCCAAGTTGTGAATTTGGAAAGGAAAGGGTTTATAAGGTTGTAAGTCTTCCTGCTTGGTTTCCAGAAAGTTCAGGTTCTCAGAGAAGGGAGACTTTTGTGTCTTAGGTGCTGGGAACTGCCTATTTAATTGTCTTTTGATATTATCGAACACCTGTTGCATCTGAGAGCTGTGAGAGAAGATAGGGAACACCTTTTTGAAGTGGGATATGTGGTGGCAAGATAATGATTTGTGGTGAAACAGGAGCCGAGTCTAGTTTATTGTAGTTTGGAAAGAGGGGAGGAAGAAACATGAAACTGATATAGCCTGTAACAGAGATAGAAACTCGGTGTCAAGAGAAGAGGCTAAATTGTTTGAAATAGATTGGAATTGAAGTATGATATTGAGTTTAAGAATAACCATATGTGTTTTGTACAACTCTTCTGTATGAATCAAAATGAAGATAGACAGTTAGAAAAAAATAAATGAATAAACAACAGTAAGATGATTGTATAATTTCCACCCTGAGTATTAGTTGTACTTCAGTTTGTTCATTTAATGTGATCCCTTTATATTTATTGAACATTTAAGAAAAATATCAAAGTTCATGTTGTTAAACTTTCTCATTGCTTAGAGCAGTTTGCTACGAATAACAAGACAAGTAGCAACAATCTGGAATAAGTAGACATTAATGTTTCAAAAGTATTATTCCATGTTTGCATCTATCAAACTCATTGTATAAAATTTTACTTACTCAAGGATCATTTAATCATCTGCATTAAATGAAGGGAGAAATAAATCTATTTCATTAGTGATACAAGGTATACTCCATTAGAACAACAAGTACATTCTGTACCTCATTGCAGATCAGCCAGTGAGACACAATGCGTCAGCTCAAGGGAAAGCCAAAGGAATCGGCGAAGGAGAAGCGTGAGAGGAAGAAGGAGTTTATGGAGAACAAAGATAAGGCGTTCACTGTCGCTCTTCCCATCCTAGGAGGACTCTTCCTCCTCCTGGCCATCTTTGTGTACATCAAGACCAGGCCGAGGGTGGAAGAGCTGTAAGGAGGCCACGTGTGTCTGCAGCCGCTCAGTCCTGCTGACGCCCCAGTCCATATCAGGAAGCTTGCTGAGAAGCTTCCAATCATAGAGAATGTGCAAATATCTGTTTTAAGAGTTTTTTTTTTTTTTTTTTTTTTTCTTGTGTGCAGGATCATTGGTATTACATAATTTCATCAGATGATGGAAGTTGGATGATTTCAAATACACACAAATTGAGTACCTAGGGAAGCTATATGTAAAACCATGGAAGTATACTGTATTTGATAGAGATGACATAGGCCTTAGTGGTTGATCATAAATATAGTCTACATTTTGGAATGTAATTTTTATCTGTTCTGATATATAAGCTAGATACATCAGGAATATGCACATGATGTAAATGTTTTAATTCTATTTATTCATCAAGGAGACATGATGAAAGTATGCCATAGATTCTTTATATTTATATATAGAACCAATGAAAGTGAATATGTATAACAGATGTACAGTATACTGTGATATTGTTAGGAACAATGTGCCTTATGTCCTCTAACCTGAAGGAATTCATTGGTTTATTTTTGACATGTAGGTAATCTGAAGGTTCTCAGGAGTGGTCATATGGGTTTTTTATTATTGTTTTTTGAACAGCCTCATTTCTATTAGCACCATTATTGAAAATTCTGATGGAAGATTCAAGATGTGTCTGAGTCTATGTACTATTACATACATGTGAATATATATTTATATAATGAAATTGTGTAGACCATCATTGCAAAGCCTTCAGATAAAAATCTCCCCAGAGTAACACGAAATCTAGAAATTGCTATTGCAGATATGCAAAGTGAACTAGCATTATTTTCTGCTTATCAGAAGCATGGGAAGATATTAAAGAATAAAACAGCAAGCACAAATTTTTGGTATGTAGTGTAGGATTGCAGCATTTTGGAAAGATAATACCGCAGCTATCGTCAGTCCTCAGCATCCACCCTTGCTCTCACTGCAGCGGAGATGCACTCATGCTAATGCAGATTCTTATGTGCCTTGAATTTGGAAGTATTTGTTGCTACTGCAAATATTCACAATGTCGTGCGATTGCTAAGAAGTACTTTAAAAATCCTGCATACCTTTGTACCAATTAATTAGAATAACCATGAGTATCTTCATGCATTCATGAGTATATTTATGAAACCTTCAAATGACTGCAATGAAGCATTTGGGAGTTAATGGTGACTATTCAGAATTCCAGTTTCTTTCCGTCTTGGAGAATTCAGGCGTTCATTCCATCGCGTTTCTTAGAATATCACTGTTTTCTTTATTGTATTTTTCCTATATATTGTCAACAGGAATGTGATTTTTCTTTTTCTTTTCTGGGAATTGATATTCATTCAAGACATTAGAATAAGCTCACAGTCTTCCATGACTAGGTTTGTGTGTTGTACAAAACATTAGATTTAATTCCTTTTCTTTTACCTACACTGCCTTCTGTTACTTTTTTTGTTCTTTACTTTATGATCTCACAGGGGGAAACCTTAGGAATTGGTTCGTGTTCTCAGCTTTTTATCTCTCACTCTTTTGATGTGTTAATTGATCAGATATGGTTGTTTCCTGTCCTGGTTTCTTCAGCAAATGACAGAGCAGCTAAGGTATCATCCTGTGGATTATAGATCTGTTGTTATTTTGTTTTTGTAACAAGACCATTTGTATGAGATTAGAACTTTCAAGATGTGTTCAGTGCATACTATTCATATACAAGGGTTTTGGGTGCTAGTATTTCATCTTCTTGCTGTTATTACCATGTAATGATTGTTTTAATGATTTCTCAAATCTATTTTCACAGTGTAAGTGATATTTTATTTACCTCTTTTGTAATCCTCTTTACAGAGGGGAGTGACTTGTAAAGTTTTCTGTTTGTGATTTTACAAGTGATTATAAACCATGCATATTTATATATTTATATATAATATATATATATATTTATATTTATATGCATGGGCAACCTTTTTATGTCTTAGATTCACTGCCTACAGTTTAACCATTTGAGTGCACTGAGCAGACATTTACACCTTAGTAAAAACCTATATGGAACACAAAGGTAGAATTTTTTATTGTCAGTTTTGTATTATTGAGTTAATCTATGATCATTGAAGAATATTTTGATTAGAAGATATAGTTAAAGAAACAGGGATAATATGTTGCAATGTACCAAATATGTAATATTGTATCAAATTATAATCATTCACAGAGGAGAATCACTTCAAAAAGTGCACTCAAAGGGTTACTCTTAGAGTCAATTAAGTAAACATTAGTGTCCCAGTTGTTTATTAACTATGTTGCAACCACATCAGTCATGCGTAGACTGTGGTGACAGAAGCATGCATGCACCACCATCTTCCTGCAAACCATTAGATATTGGCTAATAAAGTCGTTATTTCATTTTTCTCTCATATTATACTAACCCCAACTTCTAACCTTTTCCCTGCATATTTATTGACATGTATGTTGTGTGTCCAGTTTCTGACTAAAAATCAATATTGTGAATTTGTGGATACTCCGAGCTAGAGCACTGTTCCTCAAAAGATGCTGTTAATACCTGTGTTTTGGTGGGGTTTTAATCACTTATATATCTTGCAATGATGTCCATTGCTATAGTACAAATACCTTATTACGTATAGGTACATATGTTACTTCTGAGAAGATGCCATATAACATAGGGCATAGGAATTTCTCTAGGTAACTGTACAAACACAAAATAGTAAAACCTTGCCACAACACATACAAGCTGTACTGTACTTGCTTGCAAACTTCTTCCAGAAAGCCTGTCCTTTGTTTTATCTTAGTTGCTACAAGGAGGGAAAGTCTGTTAAATGATTTGGAAGAATAAAAATATGAGAATGAAAAGGATGATAAACAAATATGTACATAATGCTAAAAAGCTTTATAGAATGCTAGTGAAAGCAAAATGAGAAAAAGGCTGAGTTTTTATAAAGAACAGTTTGTACAATAAAAATTCAGTCATTTTAGAGAAGAAGAAGAAAAGAATTAAAACACTTAGAAGAGGGACTTTTGACTTGCTATGTCACTTTGACTGAGGGGTAGCTTGACCTCAATTTTCCTTTAATAGGCACTTCATATACACCTTTCAAGAATGTTTACCTTTTGTATATAAAGTATGTTTATACAAATTTATTGTGCTAGTGTGCATGTGATCAAGCATAAGACAATGCATGTATGTTTGAGGACATTTATATAAATGATTAGAGTTAAGCTAGTACCCTAGGCTAATAATAGATTTAAACTGTGATCTCAAAATTAGGCTAAACAAAATCGAAGGACAATAGGCGTAGTATGTGCATGAAAAAAATCTCTCTCTCTCTCTTTTTATGAATTTAAGAATGAATTGCTGACATTGACATTAGCAGACACAGCCACACTGACCAGTTATCTGGCTGGGCCCCCCAATCCCTTCCTCATAGTTGTCATGGGGGGGTTTGGGAGGTGGAGACTGAGGCTCAGTGTAGGGACCACCCCTACCTTGGACCTCGGCCCTCACCTCAGCAAATTTTGCAGGCTCTTTTCTTCCTCTTTCCTATTCCTTCTCTTTGTCATCCCATTCTTCTGTCCACTTACCCAAATCATTAACTCAATATTTACCCTTTTTGCCACAGTACATGACCATAATGCAGTGTGACCTTTGATGTCTGGGACTTTTGTTTGTCTGGACCATTCTGGAAATCCATAAACATTGCCTTACTGAACCCAAAAACTTTCTTTCCAGGGGGCTATCGCTCTATTTTGTATACGCCGCTAAAGACCGTAGTAGTTGACGAAGCAGAAAATTTTCAATAAATAAATAAATATCTGGCTTGGTAAAGCAGTACCAGAGAATCAGGAAAGAGTCAGTCGTTGGCAATGCTGATAAAGCAGAGAAGGGCTCACAATACTAAAATATTTTATTTTTCATTTCGGTAGTGCCTTGTGACTGATGTAAATAAATATACAATTAGCTAATCTCTGAATTGCTAGAAAACGACATGAAGTAAAGCCATTGGGTAATTAATGTGCCAGTGCTTTCCTTTGTTTCATGATTCTCTCATATTTTTTTATTCAAGTAATTTTTTTTACACTAGTAATTTTTTTTTTTTTTTTTTTTTTATTATACTTTCATTATCAGAATATTTTTTCGTAAGTTATCCTTATCCTAATAATTTTTTGTATGCTTTCATTATCAATTTATATTTTGGAAGCGCTAAGTATCTTAATAATGTTTTGTATCCTCTGTCACTTCTAATGCACTATAGGTTTTAGCCCTGTTACATTTTTACTCATTACATTTTAATAATTTCTCTTTCGTTCTTTATGTTTTGGTTACTTTTTTTCAATTGCTTTCTCGTAATCTGTTTTTCTTTATTTCAATCCTCCATTTCCGCAATATTTATTCCATTACTTGGTTTCATTCTGTATTTGAGAAATTATGATTAACAAGTGGCTACTGTATAAATGCATTATTAAGAATATTAACAAATTATATAATCTATTTATTTATTATGAATTGTTTCAAAGAACACCTATTTGGATATTTAGTTTCATACCACAAAAAATTTATTTTAAATACAATGTGATATTAGAATATGAAAAAATAATGACAAAGAAAGTCAGTGGATTTTATTATTATTGTTGTTATTATTGATAGTAATATCATTTGTGAGAACTTTATAGTAATTATAATTAATGATTTGGTTTAATTACATTTGTTACAATGGATATTCTTGGTGTGACACCGAGTCCATTTACTTTGCTTCTAAATTACCCTGTGTGCAAGGAATGGCCAGGGTTACCATACACTGGCTGCACAGGATTTGATTGCGGGGCAGCTAGATTGCTAGACAGGGATGCTACATACAGTACACATTCTTCATATAGGTGACTTGAGTGACAGTTAATTGAAGAAAGGGATGTGATATGCCGGTGCCATAATCGATAAAAAAAGAGGGTTTTATTTCTTGAAAAAAAGGTAAATTAAGAAAACTAAAGATGTTCTGAATAAGGAAGGAAAGAACAACAATAACAACAAAACAATAACAAGCAAGATTCTTCTTTGATAGATATGCAGAATCCACTAAAGCTTCTGTTCATGTTTATCATTCAGACAATAAATAACAGTAAAGTTGAATTTCTATTTATTAATAAAGAATAACATTTCATCTCTTCACGAAAAACAATGGTCACTTGTAGATTTATATGTACATATGCACAGATATAAAAACACATACAAATTTACATTAATACACACATACACACAGCAACTAGTAACCACGTGTTATCTCCCACCAGCGTCTGTTGTAATAAAGACGGAAATCCACCCCCCAGCAAACATTGTTCGGACACCTTTGACTGGTACCAGGCAGGGTTCATTCCTCTCAGCTGTGTCCCCCAAACCAAGCTGGCCATACCTAAAAAATCAGATAAATAATCATGACATTTGTATAGCATTTCATATTTAAGGAATTCTCAAGTAATAAAACTGGATTAAAAAAAAAAAGAAAAAAAAAAAAAAAGTCAAAGCACACGTGTGTATGCACAATGCACCCCCCCCCACACACACACAAAATGTATGTGAAACAAAAGAGATTATGATATAAATGAAGATCTGTAACTCCAAAAATTAAAAAGGAAAACTGATACATGTATGATAATTGGGTCTACTGGAACAAATAAAATTTCACGATCAACATGAAAAAAAGTATAGATCTATATATTCATATCAATGATATGAAAAACGTTTATTAGAAATTTAGTTCCAAACTGTCAGCTACTAATTAAAGTACTAAACTATCTGTACCCAGGAAGACAAAGGACTTAACTATGCTAAAAGTGACAAAGCATACTAACTTGTTCATGCCAGTGGACCATACACTCCCATCCTCTGTAAAATGTAAAAATGTAAATAATAATTAATACCACATCACTCATGGCTCATGACTTCATCCTTTAGTTATAGAAAATATGACTAATTTTCATATGAAACCCAAGTTTTTGATATTATAATCTTACCAAGCTGATATAATGTGTGTCTATCTCCACATTTTACATCAATGATAGCCATATCTTCATTCCAGAAGTCCAACAGCCTGGGTGAGGTCTGCACATTCACAACATCCTTGGCCCACACCCTGTTGACTCTTGGATCAGGTCGGCAGCCTCCTGTTCCTTCGAGAGATGCTTGCCGATCGTCATCACTTGGTTCATTGGCTCTAATCTCTCTCACCTTCATGTCTTGTATTGTGTCTGTCTTATGAACTGGCTTGGGACATAGGCAGTTGTGGCTGAACATTCCCAAGATTGATGCCTCCTGATCTGCTTTGGCTGGGAAGCCCAACTGGCCGCTTTCATTCCAGCCCCAGGTGTATGCGTCACCACTTGTGCTCAGAGCTGTTGAGGAGAAAAAGGGAAGAAGAGAGAGGAAATGAGAAAGGCAAAAGGGGGAAGAAGAAGAAAAAGGAGATGAGAAAGATAAAAGGGGTAAAAGGAAGAAATGAGAAAGGGAAAACGGGTAAAAATAAATTATTAATATGTCTCCTAATTAAAAACAAAGACCTGAAATTACATTAAGACATTACAAGCTAATATTTACCGCACTAAAATTTCTTCATTACTTTGATGCAAGACTTCATTCCCTGAACCTAGCTCTATGCACTACCTCCACAGATCATGAATTTGAGATTTGAGGAAGACATAAACGAAATTTAAAAAGGTAATAGAAGAAACTGAAAAGTCTCCTGATGACCTATTTCCAGAGACTTCTTGCTATTAATCCACTCAAGATACCATACAGAACACTTCTTAACCACAATAATTATAAGCTTATACTCAAACCAATAAAGAAATGAAAAAGTAAGTAAGTAGAGAAAAAAAATCATGTGCATAAATTATCTTCTTCATAAATAACCTACAGCCACAGCCCCCCCACCATACACAAATAACATTAATAATAAAAAGAGATAATTGATACATAAGTAAAATTACCGACACAGTGCCATCCCCCAGAGGCTATGGAGGAGATGGTTATGCCTTGGAGACTCTCAACTGGCTCTGGACGGTCGATCTGGCACAATTCTCCATTGCCTAGTTGACCTCGCCTATAGAGAGACAAAAATTAATAGGGATTATCTGCAGGAGTCACGCATGTCATTTTGTCTATAGACTAGCTAGCAGGCATATAATCTGAAGAAAAAAATGAAGAATGAAGTCATTTGAGAAAACAGTAATACAGGAAAATTCCTCATCAAATTTAAATATTATAGCTATAGAAGAGTTGTCTAATATTTACTAATTTCCCTAGCTTTAACTATTTCTGAGAGAGAGCCTACAGCTCACTTCCCACACCCACTCTCACTCTCTCTATGTTATGCCCATCCTCTGTGTCACTCTCTCTGTCACTCTCACTCACTGTCTCTCTCTTTCTCTGTCTTTCATTCTCATTCTTAATATATCTCCTCCTCCTCACTCTTACTCATTTTCATTCTAGTTCTCACTCTCCTCCTCCTTACTCTCACTTTAGAAGCAGCCATTAAAGATACAGAAACTGAAACCTAAAGACATAAAACCAAGGTGTAATGTCTAAAAAACATAGATTTCCATTTTGAATCCTGATGGCAAAACTCTTACATTCCTAAGTTAATTACATTTAATAGAAAACTTCTTTATGTAAGAGATTATCTTAAATGCTTATCTGACATCACAGGGATTAGTTTATTAGTGGATTTTTTTTGTTATTATTATTATTATTGCCTTAAAACCAAATGTCATTAACTTTTTATTCAATATCTTCCTTTCAACATCAAATAAGCTCTCATCTTAAATGAATTATCATAACTAATTCCATTCCATATTGACAACATGATACCCAGTGAGATTTAGAAAAAATAAGTCTCTGTATTTCCTTCTGCCTCTTTCTGAGGATGTATTCTACTTACATTCCACTGCCCCATGTAAGCACTACCCCATCTGTTGTTAGTGCCATGCAGTGCTCCTTCCCCAGTGCAACAACGCTGATTCTGCTGCCGCCATATGGTACAGGAACGCCACTACTGTACAACTTCCCATCTGATTTTCAGGGCAGAATATATTTGTATGGGAAATCAACTTGAAAAAGCATCTATCTAAAAATATATATATTCTTACACTATATCTGTTAGAATAAATGTTATACTACCCTATGCTAAAACACTTTGTAAAATAACTCTGTATAATGCAAACAGTATATAATAGTTTATATACTTCAAATTGTTCCATAATAGCTCATAAAGATATGTTATAATGTAACAGACTATCTGAGTGACATTTTTTCAATGATGTGATTTTCAACACAATAATTTCCTGTCTTATATTTTTTTTCTATTTCTACTTTCCACGTTTAAAAACAGCTACCTTGAGAATGCCCCAAGAGGCATGTAAATATCATTAAAGAAGCTATTATTCTGACACATAATCATGTCTTATACTCTACCTTCATCAAGAGCAATAAGAGAGTTGTCCTCAACACAGACTGAAGAAAATTTTGTCTCAGATGTTGTGTGAGGTTCATCACTTTCACTCTCTGCTGTGTTGTCCTGATCTTCAATCTGCTGCACTGAGGGACCTGTTGATTTTGAAAAGAAAAAAATCACTTTTGATTCTCTCCACTGTACACCAAACAAACATAAAAGGTACCACCTAGAAATGTAGATGTAACTGCAGTTCATTTCATATTTTTTTTCTTTAACTAATGATTATGAGTTTAAGAATTTTAATTAAGCATCTCAACAAAGAATCCAAAGCTAAATTACCTAAATTTCCTGAATCCATTGCAGTATCCCTCTGGAAGAACAACTTCCTCCATTGCCCCTTTTCACGCAGAACTACAGTCCCGTCATTTTTTATGGCAGCTATTCTCATCTCGCTTGTGGATATCTGCTGGAGCAAATGGTCAGATAATTTACCTTATTAAACATTGGTATTATCATCACTTTTAAAGTCCACACTAAAACAAAGTTGGGTTATTGTGCTATATAATATTTTAGTTATCCTGTTTATTGAATGATGCAAGTTTAGATACTTTATTAATTCATTTACCTACATGCAGCTTATTCCAAGTCAGAAGTTTTAAATGAAATGGACCACATAACTATCCATGTAGTCTACTTCCAGCAACTGGAATGAACACTGTGGGCTAATCTAAATAGCAGAAGCAGGTAATACCCTTTGCATCTTACCTTCCATCCCTGTTCCATCTCTTTTTCCAGACTATAATCATGATTTTTATAACCAGTCATTTGCCAACCAGCTTCTGGAAACATGATATAAGTGAGGATCTGTGCTGGAAGAAATTCTAAATAGGCAAGTTTTATGTCAGTAATATGAAAATGCATTAGATATGATTATTCTAAACCACAAGCTCAAAATTATTGATCCTGAAATATCAGGGAACTAAAAGTTACTAGTTACTACATTACTAGGTGCTTTTAGCAGAAAATCCTACAATACACAAATGATGTTCATTGAATGAACTCTGAATAAACTTTATGTAAAATGTTTTATTCTATCATTTTATCTACATGACAGTGTTTTTTTCTTCAATATCTAATTATCTTACGGTTCCCAAAACAAGATATTCTCAGAACATTACCCTTCATAAACATAGAAAATCACTAATATATTCAGGAAAAAAACAAAAACAAAAAACCTGCTTACTAGTTTTCCAAAGAATGTGACTACAAGCAATGTGTACTTCACACACTTCCTCTTTATCTTTTACTGGTGTTGGGCAGCATAAGAGCGGTGGACCAGCTGGTGCTATCTGGCCATTGGCATTGAGGCCACAGGCAACAACTGCCATTCTGACTCTGTAAATATGACTCTGAAATATAGATTCTGTATAAAGGTCTCATTCATTCATATATATATATATATTTGTGTGTGTGTGTGTGTGTGTGTGTGTGTGTTGTGTGTGTGTGTGTGTGTGTGTGTGTGTGTGTGTGTGTGGTGTTGGTGTGTGTGTGTGTGTGTGTGTTGTGTGTGTGTGTGTGTGTGTGTGTGTGTGTGTGTGTGTGTGTGTGTGTGTGTGTGTGTGTGTGTGTGTGTGTGTGTGTGTGTGTGTGTGTGTGCATTCGGTCAATATGTAGTATAAGGTAGTGGCAGAGTTGGGTAATAAAACCTACATGAAGTGATAGAGCAATACAAACCAAGACAAAGTTCTTCTATGGCAATGTGTGTGCAAATGCTTCCCAAGGGTGCTATACGTAAAAGAAAAGGGAAGATGATGGGTTACTTTCGAAACAATTTTGATATTTTTCTGCACGAAATCCACTGCTTTCAACGACTCTAGGCATTATTCCTTGTGCAAATGGGCAACCTAACCCAACATCCAACTTAACCTAACACCGTGGTATATATTCCCTAGCCAGGGCGCTCTGCCGCCTGGACCCCCGGGTAATATATATACCTAGCACCCTTGGGAAGCATTTGCACACATATTGCCATAGAAGAACTTTGTCTTGGTTTGTATTGTTCTATCATTTCATGTAGGTTTTATTACCCAACTCTGCCACTATCTTATACTACATATTGTCCTCTTTCTGTCTTCCTTTCTTCTCTAATAGTGTTTTGGTCTTTTAAATAAGCACATTCCAGAATCTACATTCTCCGGATATTCGTAACATTACCTTCACATAGCCATTAGAGATCGAAAGTCTCTTCGCTTTTCCATATAATAACTCAAAAAATACCTCATGTCATCTACTGAAACAGCTACTACACAATATTACAAAGATATATAAAGATGTATGACATATAAATAACGACTTACATCCTTAGAAATGCAAGAAAACGACAGCAAAAGAGACACAAACTAACTTACCCGGAACGAGACGTGGAATTTTCAAAGGCCGATGTTGACGTTCGCGAGAATCCGCGGATTTGAATCCGAGAACGCCGGCGTGCTTATAGTATTACCTTTTTAAAGATTATATTATCATTTGCTTTTTAAAGATTATACCATCATTGTCTTTTTTAAGATTATATTATCATTAGCTTTTTTAAGATCATATCATCATTGTTTTTTTTAAGATCATATTATCTTTATCTTTTTTAAGATTATATTATCTTTATCTTCTTTAAAATTATATTAGTATTATCTTTTTATGATTATATTATCATTATCTTTTTTACGATTATATATATATATTTTTTTAAATTTTGTCATTTCTAATCTTATAATTTCTTTTCAAGGCTAATTCAACTTGATATAAAACTATCTAAGAAGGTAAGATGGCAAATAAGGTAATACCCTTTTTAACATTAGCATTTACATGAATGTGAGCATTCATATCTCTATACACGTACATACATACATATACATACATATATATATATATATATATATATATATATATATATATATATATATGTATATATATATATATGCACATATATATATGTACATACACACACACACACACACACACACACACACACACACACACACACGAACACACACACATACACACACACAAACATAAACACACACACACACACACACACACACACACACACACACACACACACACACACACACACACACACATACACACGCACACACACACATACACACACACAAACATAAATACACACACACACACACACACACACACACACACACACACACACACACACACACACACACACACACACACACACACATATATATATATATATATATATATATGTGTGTGTGTGTGTGTGTGTGTGTGTATGTATGTATATAAATGTATGTATATATGTATATATATATATATGTATATATATATATATATATATATATATATATATATATATATATATATATATATAGAATTTTTTAATATATATATAAATATATATATATATATATATATATATATATATATATATATATATATATATATATATATATATATATATATACTATCACACACACACACACAAAACATATATAAATTAAGCAAAAATAAGAAAGAAGAACGAAGAAAAATACACAAGAAGTAAAAAAATATAAATAAAAAAATCACTCCACCCATAAAGAGAGAACGAAAGAATGTCCGGAATTATAGATATTGGAAATTGTATTAAAAAAAAAAGAAAAAAGTCCAAAGAGGAACCTTGATAATTGGCTATAGATTTCTCAGCAAGAATCAGATGCAGGATTAGTGTCGTTATTTGGAATCATTATATGAAACGTGATGTCATAGTTTTTATTCTGTATATATATATATTTTTTTTCTTTTCTTTTTATACAAGCATCAATGGAGAATTTAGGGCAAGACTCGGAAGTAAAAAAAGAAAGAAAAAAAAAAATGATTTGATAACAATTCCTATAAAAATGCGTATTAGATTTGCAATGATTTTCTTTGAAGAATTTACAAAAAAAAGATGAGTGTTGATTAGTTGGGAACTCATTCATAACAAAAAAAAAGAAAAAAAAATGAATTGCATATTTGGAGAAGTGACGTCAGCGGTTTTTAATTTTTCAACGGTTTTCTGATCAATTCTTCCTTCTCGCCTTTGAGTGTTGCAGAATCTTCGTTTTATCTGAAATTCTTTCTTTTATTTCTGTTTATTTTATCTATTTCTTTTTTCTTTTCTTTTCTTTGCCTGTTACTTCTTCTTCTAACGTATTTTATTTTACTTTTGTTAATGCCTGCTTTTTTTTTCTTTCTCTTTCACCCTTCCTTATCCCCATCTCTCTTTTTTATCGTCCTTTTTCTGTTTCCTAATTCTCCTGATCTTCTTTTTTCCTGCTCTTCCCCTTTTCTGCTCCACATCTCCTTCTTCAATCCCTTTCCCTCGTATTTTTTTCTCTCCTCATGTTTCTCTTCTTACCATAGCATTCCCCTTCCTTTTCCTCGCAATTTATCACTCGTATGCCATTGTCTCTCCCTCGCTTACGCCGCCCTCCCTCTCACCCTCTCTCTCTTTCTCCACTCGCCTCTCCCTTCTTCCTTCCTCTCTTCCTCCCCCCTCCCTTTCTATCTCCTCTTCCCTTCCTCTCTCTCTCTCTCTCTCTCTCTCTCTCTCTCTCTCTCTCTCTCTCTCTCTCTCTCTCTATCTATCTATCTATCTATCTCTCTCGCTCTCTCTTTCTCTCTCTCTCCCTTCCTTCCTCCTCCTTTTTTCCTTATCGTCTCCTCTCGCTTCGCCCTCCGTCCTTACCTCCCTCCCTTCCTTTCCTCCTTCCCTCCTTCTCTTACTCTCCTCCTCCTTCCCTTTCTCCCTCCTCTCTCCTTTCCTCCTTATCTCATTCGCCCTCCACTTCCCTCCCTCCCTCCCTTCCTCCCTCCCTTCCTCCCTCCTTCTATCTTTCCCTTCCCCTTCCTCCCTCCCTCCTTCCCTCCCTCCCTCCCTCTCTTCCCCCTTCCCTCTCTCTTTCCCTCCCTTCCCTCCCTCCTTCTCTCACTCTCCCTCTTCCTTCCCTTTCTTCCTCCTCCTTCTCTATTTCTCTTCTCCTCCCTTCCACTCCCTCCTCCCCCCCCCCCCCCGAAAACACCCCAATGGACAAAACATCCAGGAAAACAAAAAAAAAAACAAAAAAAAAACTTGACAACACTAACCGCCAAATAATAAAAGTTTTCTCTCTGTGGCAGATCTGGAAGACAGCTGTTAGCCTTGTTTGCGTGAGTGCAGGCTGTTTGTGTGTGTGTGTGTGTGTGTGTGTGTGTGTGTGTGTGTGTGTGTGTGTGTGTGTGTGTGTGTGTGTGTGTGTGTGTGTGTGTGTGTGTGTGTGTGTGTGATGTGTGTGTTTGTGAGGGGGGGGGGGGGGGAGAAGGAGGAGGAGGCGTTTGCAAGGAAAAGGGAGAAAGGGAGGGAGAGAGATGGGAGAAGGAAGAGGAGAGAGAGAGAGGGCTCGAGAGAAACCGAGAGAGAAAAGGAGAGGAAAGAGATAGCGAGAGGAATAGAGAGAAAATGAAGCGAAAAAGAAAGGCAAAGAAAGAGAGGAAAAAGAATGGGAAGAGAAGAAGGGAGGAGAGGGGATGGAGAGAAAGGGAAAAATAGCAGCGGAAGGAGAGAAAGATGATGGGAAAGGGATGGGAAGAGAGGGAGACAAGAAGAGAGAAAGACAGAGAGAGAGAGAGAGAGAGAGAGAGAGAGAGAGAGAGAGAGAGAGAGAGAGAGAAAGAGAGAGAGAGAGAGAGAGAGAGAGAGAGAAAGAAAGAGAGAGAGAGAGAGGACAAAAGAGAGAAAGAGAAAGAAAAAGGCCACGGACCAGTTGCGTGCCCCGGCCATACCCAGCCTCCAGCGCCGCCCCTCAACCCAGCGTATAAATAGCATAACAAACCGAGAAGCTGTAATTGTTTTTCTTTCTGAAACTGCACTCTGTCAGGGTGAAAAGGACATCAAAACAGCATTTAAAAGACATTTAAAAAACTTGCCAAACGACTGTACGTAAAGATATTACGAGAGTGACGCAACTGGACTTATAGTTAAAGGGCAATGCTCCCTTGGGGTGACAAACGCTCTGGTGTATATACGTACATACCTATATGTATATGTATATGTATTTTTATATATATATATATATATATATATATATATATATATATATATATATATATATATATATATATATATATATTTTTTTTTTTTTTTTTTTTTTTTTTTTTTTTTTTTTTTTTTTTTTTTGAACGGCCATTCATTCCACTGCAGGACATAGCCCTCTCTCAATTCACTTATTGAGTGTCACCCTTGCCTGATTGAATGCCCTTCCTAATCAACCGCGGTTCGGCGCATTGACACTTGTGCCACGGCGGAGTTCAGCGCTCTAACCACTGGGCCATCGCGACAATCATATATATATATATATATATATATATATATATATATATATATATATATATATATATATATATATATATATATATATATATATATATTATTGCTATTATTATTATTATTATTATTATTATTATTATTATTATCATTATTATCATTATTATTATTATCATCATTATTATTATCATTATCATTTTTATTATTATTATTATTACTGTTATTATCACTATCACTATCATTACGACTGTCATCATCATTATTATTATTATCATTCTTATCATCATTATCATTACTATCATAATCATAATCAATACCATCACTATCATTATTACTATTTCTACCATATATGATAAAAACGGGCCAATACAAAATATATGTGAACAGAAAAAAAAATAAATGTTAAAATTATATTTCAAAGATCATAATAATGTAAACAAAAAAAAGAAAAGAAAGAAAGAAAAAAAAAAAAACCCACTTTGCCTCGAGTGCTTCTGCAAATGAGCCTTCAACAGGGATGCAAGCTAGCACAGGAGCACGGTTGCAGTTGTCTGGCTTGCAACAAGATTATTGCTTTGGTCTGTGCGAACTAATTGAAAAGAGCATGATATGTTCTCTCTCTGGAATTCATTTTAGTGGGGGAAATAGGCTTGCTTTGTTCAGCTATGTTATAATGACTGATGTTTGTTTAGCTTTCGTTATAAAAGATTGGTGCTGTTATATATTCTATCCTTATCTTTTATATTGTTCTTTCATAATTGTTCTGGTAAGCATGTGTTTGATCATTACCACTGTTATTACTTGTATGACTATTATCAGAATCTCTGTTGTTATGAATGTCGATGATATCCTTATTGGTATTACAAAACCTCATTACAATTTTCATGGAGGGAAATGTATTTTATGTAGAATTAACAACTAATAAAAAAAAAGTTATCATCTTACACTTCATATTGTTAGATTTTTCCTTACAGTCTATACATGTAATTTCTCAAACGTAGAGAGAGAGAGAGAGAGAGAGAGAGAGAGAGAGAGAGAGAGAGAGAGAGAGAGAGAGAGAGAGAGAGAGAGAGAGAGAGAGAGAGAGAGAGAGAGA